AAGGACTCCTTTTCTTCATGGCCTCTTCCCACCTCTTTTTTTCGTACATTAATTCGTTGGCAATGTGGTGGGGATTTGTACGTGTGAGGGGCTAAAAATGGTATGGGACATGGAAGTTTTTACCAATGAAAACAAGGCCTCAAGAACGAGGAGGGGAAAAATGACGAGAGTGGGGTTTGAACCCACGCCCTCGGAAGGATTGGAACCTTAATCCAACGTCTTAGACCACTCGACCATCTCGCCTGCGGCATCCGAGCAGAACAACAACCGAAACATTATTATTACGTTTCAGAATACCTACGAAAACCGAATCCTAACCAAAAAATTGGTTAGATTTTTTGGAAAAAGTTGCGCCGTCCGGGAATCGAACCCGGGTCAATACCTTGGGAGGGTACCATCATGCCACTAGACCAACGGCGCGTTCAGCTTCCCCCCTCCATCCTTCTTGAATTTGAAAAGAGGAATAAAATTTCTTTTAATCAAATTTTTTGTTTCTTTTTTGTTTTTGGTTTCCTTGTGTCTTCCCGGTTACCGGCAACGGGCCCCGCGCCACCAGCCATTTTCGCAGAGGGCGTTCATTATCCCCCCATCTTCTTGTAAGGAAGTGGGCCCCTTTCTTTCGCTGTGTGGGTTGTTGTTTTGGGGCGCTCCTTTGAACATCTTATTGGGCCGGCCCGCGGGGGGGGCGCGCAATGAAGGAATCTGGCGGTCTTTCCCCTCATCCCGGGGCCGGGAAAGGCCTACTTGCCCCTTTTGAGTTTAACAGCGCAGAGGGGGGGGCGCGGTTCGGCGGCGAGCTCAGCGAAAATTTGTAAACTAACAAAGGCTAGGGGGGAAAAGGGCCCCCCGCTGGGCCAGTATGGTCGCCGTCGGTTCCGTTGGGGGTGGGCCGTTGGGGACAAAACCTTTCCACTGCAAGCGGGAATTTGGCCAACTTCTGCATAAAGCATAACTTCTCCATGTCTCCCCCATCCACCCCAAAGTGACACCGTGGACTCTTTAATGCGGGACAGCTCAATAGGTGCATGCCCATCCCTTCGCACTGTCCACGTTGGCTTGGTTTCGCGATGTGCGGCCTGAATCCGTGGCTGGCTATGCGGTGCCTAGTGAATCCGTGTTTGCTGTGCCGCTGGGATCCGCACGTTAGACAGAGAAAGGCAGTGAGAGGCAAGTCATCAGAAGCATCCTCATGGAGCCCCCGATGTTTTCCCGTTGTGGGCACCCCTTGGCCCCCTTGATATCTTCCGCAGTGCGTTCGGGCTCGTTAAATAGACGTGAACCATTTCAAACACACCAAGCATTGTTTTTCCTTCCGCGGCTCGGGCGGTAGATGGGCGGCCCCCTCGTTCTTTAGCGGCTTTTCGGTCAGGGAAGAAGCCTCTCTTCTCATGCGCTTTTTGAGATGTGGCAATGCTGCTTCGCCATTTTCCTGCTTTATGGAACTGGCGTGCGAAGCGGGTGGTTCTTCTCCCTCTCGCTTGGATTTTTTTTTTCGTTGTGTCTTGGTTTGGGTCTTGCGTCGGGTGATTCTGGTGACGGCGCGGTGGCGCGCGCCCCTAGGCCGGCAAAGGCAACACTCCGTCCCAGCAAGGCGCGGCTGGTCCCGGCACTGTGCGGTGCCGTGGCCCTGGCGCCGCAAAGTTCTCCAAGTGGCAAACTTTGTTGGCGCTTAGCTTCCCCCGGCGATGCGGGGCGATGGGCCTTGGCATGGCGATGGGGCGGCCAGCATCACCAATGATTTGTTTATGTGGTGAGCGGTGTGCTGCTCTGCGTCCTTGGCCCCGGAACTGGGGTGGTCGAGTGGAGTCTGCGCATCTCTTTTTTTAAAAAATGTTCTGTGTGTATATCTGGCGAGGAAGGTGCGTGATCAGCTCCTATCCCCCAAAACGAAAACAAGCATATATAGTATTATTAATTAAAGAGTAAGTTTTTTCTAGTTTTATTTTAATTTAGTTTGCTTTTAGGACACTCTGCATGTGAATGCCCTGTGCTTTGTCTGTGGAACGTTGATCTAGACACCGTGTTTTTATACAATATTCTAATGTCTTGCTGAAGAAGAAGAGAACTTTGCGTGTAAGCGGTTTCCGATGTATTATTCTTCTTCTTTTGGTTGTGTCTTTATAAAAGAACTTAATAAGCATTGATTTATTTGCATCTTTCTTTTTTTAAAAAAGGAGTATACACACACACACACACACACACACACACAAATAATTTAACATTTAGATTCATACATTTAGGAAAAGGGGGTTTTAGGAAGTAATAAGCAATGCTGAANTGTCTTTATAAAAGAACTTAATAAGCATTGATTTATTTGCATCTTTCTTTTTTTAAAAAAGGAGTATACACACACACACACACACACAAATAATTTAACATTTAGATTCATACATTTAGGAAAAGGGGGTTTTAGGAAGTAATAAGCAATGCTGAATGTGAATGCCAAGGCTTTTGTTCCTCAATCCTTTGGGGAACATGCAGGGGCTCATACAAATGCCATTTACAGGTACCATATCACACTTCCAATGGAGAGGGTGTGTGATGTCATAGAGCCGCCAACAGTATCAAATGGTATTCTCATGCTTTTGGGAAGGCGGTGGTTGTGCAGTTCTTCCCAGGGAGGATTAGGTGAGGAGCCTCTTCAAATGTTCATCACTACACTTTTCGATGCAGTGGAAAATGCTACTCAGACTGGAAGAAACCCAAATGCGCCTACAGGAATGCTTCTTTCTCGCTCTATCCTTTCTCTATCTGGTGTGGTTTCCGCAATCAATACTGTCAATGATGCTCCAGGATTCCTTATTCGAGTCGACGTCTCCACAGACTACAAAGCAGAAGTAGCTTCTCAGCTTAGAGCTGCGTGGGATGATTTTTTCGGGATTTTTCGAGGAGAACTTCAAGTCTCTGCTTTGGGATATGTGGAATCTTCGTGCGGAACTTCAACAAAAAAGACGTACGGAGGAACCTATCGACATTACTTCTTCCTTTCGTGTCCCTCCCTGCATTCCCAACCAGAAGAATTAACCATACAACGCATGATGGGATGCCCATTTCCTAAGCTTCGTGTGGTGCAGGTAAATGCTATTGTGCCATTTGTTTGTAATCCACGAATACCAATAGGTGTGGTTATATCTTTGGGAGATACAGCAAAGGAAAAATTACTTTCAGAAGGAAAACCGGATAAGACCTTTTCAATTTCATTTTATCCATATGATGTGTCTCAAACTATGTCAAGCCTTGACGAATACGAAGAACAGTTCTTGTCCTTCTTAAAAGAAGAGAATTGCAAGTGGGATCGAACATCTATTATCCATGTTGAAGTAAAAATCTTCAAATCATTCTCGATTGGTATTTCTCCAATTCCCATTTGGGATATGGTGCAGTTTGTTGGTAACATATGCGAGGATACAGCGAGTAGCGTATTGGGTGTCTGCTGCAGTGAAGATACTCTAGAAGGCATTCAGTTGGCAAGGCATAAAGAAGAAGGCAATGTGTGCTACTTGAATGCCACTCTTCAGTCGGTGCTAAATGAGGGTCGCTCATTAGATATGTCCAACACTTATTTTGGTCGAGTTCCTCAATATATCAAGGGTCCAATTAAATCAAATCAATACGAATTCGTCCGTAAGCAAATGGATAAATGGCTCCCTGTGTATGATGAGCCAACACTTTTAAATCGGATGGTATTTGCTTCTGCGGCCGATAAATTTTCGAAGGAAAAGTATTACGTGAGGAACCAAGTTATAGGTGAAAAAATTCTGGTGGTGACAAATCCTCAAGGGGATGTTTTTGGTGCTGATTTGAAAACTGGGTCTGTTTTTGCGTTGCCTAATTGCTTTGGTGGAGCTGTTGGTCCCGTGAAGGATTCGGTTTTTCAAGCTGTTATAGCACCCTCTTTTCGAGGATACCTAGAGTGTGTCATTGTAGTGGAGGATGTTTTGTGTTTTGAAGGAATAATGGTATCTGAATTGCCATTTCCTGAACGATGGCATTATGTTGAAAAAACAATATTGGACGACCAAACCAGCCGACCTCACATAAACACTGATCATGTTGTTATTGTACGGACTTTGTACTCTCCATTTGACCGGACTGAACAAGTTCTAAAAAATCCACCTTTGGAACACCCAACCTTGGGTTTGGTTTTTGTTCCTCACTCTTCCAATGATGGGAAGATGAAAATACCATCCTACAGCTGGGTTCCTCCAGAGTCGATAACAGCCCGATTCATTGCAGGCAATGTGGAAGAAATCCCCGATACAAATGGGGAAATTAAACGTGTATGGCTCCATGTGAAGGATGAATATGGTGAAATTGTACCATACAATGATGAATACACCGATTATTTACTGGATGCATTTCAATTCCTCAACAATGGTTCTATTATTGAATGCATGCTTCGGAGGAGCGACGACGGCTCACATTGGTGGGAATTACTTAAGGATCACAATACAGGTAACGAGAAGCCAACTTATACGTATGAATACGTAGAGAAACTTGTTCATGCACCAGGGTTGACTCATGAAGAGATGCTATGGCTACTTAAAGCTTCTACCTTTAAATGTGGACGTTGCCAGACTCTCAGTGATATTGGAAGGACAAACCCCAGGTATCAGACATATTGGTGCCAAAGCTGCTGGAAGGAATCTGGTCACGGGGATTGTGTATATTGTGGACGTTCTTGCGTAATTGGAAAAATAGATGGTGTCAGTGAACGATTCTACTGTGACACATGCTGGGGTGTTTTCTCCACAACAAATACCAATGCAGAAATTGGATATTTAGTTCCTCCCCCACCAAACGCCTCGTTCACAACACAGGTATTAACTCGCTGCGTATCACTTATGATCGATGCAATAAATCCCAAAGTACCTACAAATGATGTACTTGAAATTTGCTGCGGAGGGTCTGTTATACGCAAGTGGATAAAAAACAAAACTACTCGGTACGTCGGTTTTGATTTGAAGTCTAGTGTGGTAGAAGCGACACTTGAACTCATATCCTCATTACGCGATGAGATGCCAGATATGTCATCCTATGATGTTATCTGTGCCGATGCCTTTTCCACAGATTTATGGACTCAACATATTACAAAGATCCATCCCCGCCAATTTCATGCGATAACAGGGTTCACTGGACTACATTATGCCTTTGACACAGAGGAGAAGGCACGCCACGTGGTCGGGAGTATATCCAACGCATTGGTTCCTCGGGGCGTGTTTTTCGGTTGCTATCTTGATGCCAGCACATTTTATGGGAAAGGTGAAATCTCCAACGAACTCTTTACTGTTGAATGGGATGATGACTTCTTGCCTCGTATTGGACATTGTTTCTTGTTTTCAATCGAAGATGGACCCAAGAAAAAGATAAACGTTGTGACAAGTGATTTCCTTGTTGCTGTTGCACAAGAGTATAGACTCAGTGTAATCCCCGAGGTCTGCCTAACCTTTCGAGAGATCCTAGAAAACGACCCCAATTTCACAAGGGTGCTGTCAAAGAGTGAAAAAGAATATGTTTGTGCAATGAGGATGTTTGCCTTCCGTAAAGACTGTGATCCACAAGCACCTGCGTCCAGCAAAACGGACGGTGGCAGTGACGAATCTTGATGCCTGTGGAGAACGCACTTTTTTTGGTATCGAAAAGTCACAATTGTCATCCGTTTGACTATATACATATATATATATATCTTAGAGGTGACTTCTTCCTCCCCCCCCCAATAAAAATAACAATTAAGCAAAACCGTAATATTTTAATGCATTACCATTTTTCTTATCTTGGTTTTGTTTCGGATATTTATTCTTCTTGCGCTTTCCTTTTTTGCTCTATTTTTCGAATTTACTTTTATTTAAAGGAGCGAGGCAATGCCGCCGCGCTCTAAATCATTGAAGTCCCGAAAGGCTCTTGAAAGGAAGGAAAGAAAGCTACTGGAAGCCAGAATAAAAGCATCTCGAGAGAAGTGCGAAGAAGGACAGTTATTCCTTGAACCAACAGGTCGCAATGCACATCCAAACTACGCCAAGGCCACGGCCGCTCTTGAAGCGGCGTTGGAGACTTATGATGGAAATGCTGATGCTTATTTCCTAATGGGAGAGTGCCTTCGTGGTCAAGATGAGCACGATAAAGCCATTGAATACTATACTCAATGCTTGGGGAGAGACCTTGCGAACTTCCGGGCACTCGAGGGACGGGCAGCTAGTTATATGGCTCTACATAAATGGTCTCTCGCTTTTGAGGATTACAGTGCCGTTATTCAACTAGAGCCAGAAAACGATCACGTGTATAATCTCAGAGGGTTGTGCACTTTGTCTACACGCGTTCCGGGTCTTCGGTTGCTTTCTGTTGATTTTAATCATTGTGTTGGTGATTTTCAAACTGCGCTTCGGCTCAATGAAGCGAACTACTATGCGTGGGCAAACCTGGGAAGAGCATATGAAGACCAGGGGATGCTGAAGGAAGCACTGAATGCTTATTCTTCTGCGTTGAAAGTGAAAGAGGATTATGCGGATGCTCAGGTGCGTCGTGCTTGTCTTGCTTTACGCATTGTGGAGAATAGTTGGGGATATGACGAGGATCAGGGTAACGGAGTTGAAAAACCGAAACAGAACGGTAGGATCACCTCCGGGGTGGTATCAATCCCAAAGTCTGTTAAGGATGTGGAGGATGAGGTGCGCTTGGAAATGGACGCGGTGACACAAAGGCAGAAGGAAGAGGAACTACTAAATGATGCCATTAGAGACTTCCAAGCGTTAATGGCAGAAGCCACAAACAAGATGAAATGGGATCCTTGCTTGCCTTTGAATTTAGGTAGTTGCTTTCTCCTACAGAAGAATCTTAACAGAGCGGAAGAGGAATTTAAGTTAGTGATGGAAATCATCAACACCAGACCGCAGCTTGTTGCAGATGGCGAGGCTGAACCTATCCCAAATGTTGAAGCCATAGAGAAGGTACTTAACCTCAAAAAAGCAATAGTCAAGACAACCAGAAATCAGCGCTTCCTTGCAGAAAAACAACAGATTTAGGTAACCATAAGGAGAGGAATGTACCATCATGGGAGGCGCAATTATGTACAGAACAGAAACAGTTTTGGTTTCACGTGGTCTATTTACTTATATCCGTTGCCGTCTTTTGGAAAGACCTCTTCTGTTTAATAAATTGTTTTTCTTGTTATCCGAACAACTCTAGCTTAGCTGTTCCTTTCTATTGTTTACCCCAACAGGTTAGATTTAATAAATGCTTAGCCGCTCAAAGGTAAAGCTTAGTGGGTTTGACGTAAATGCATTGTACCCACATGGCGTTCCAAAGCGGACCTTCCCGTACCGTGAGCACCCCAAGCAGATTTCTACTGCTCCCACGGCTGGTGGTTTTTATCTAACGAAATATGCTCTTGGATGGCCCTTCCAGATCCCTTTTGAGTGGCTCTTCTACCGGACTTCTATCCTCACGTTTGTCGCTTGCGTGTTGTACGACCTCTTCTATGGACTTCCTCTTCCTCTAATGAAGGAAGTACCACCGGGCGCACCAAAACATTTCTTCTTCAACAATGCGGGTGGAACACCACATCACTTGTGGCAATACCAAGATGGATGGAAAGTGCCAAATATGTCCGGTGCGCGCCGGTGGGTCGACTAGTTGTGATATGGTGAAAGTGAGAGTATAAAAACACAAAAAAGAATTCGAGCGAATTCAATAGCAGCAGATGTAGTGCATGTAGCATGGGGGTATCAAGGAGGGGGTCTGTGGGTTTCTGTGTGTCGGATAGGCTGGGAAGGGGGTAAGAATTACGTCTTGCGTAGCCATTCATGCCTCTTTTTCCATTTCAATAGGAGAAAAGACCTATAATGACGGTTGATTTGCTCTTTAGTGACAACGCTGTATTCTGGAGCTTGATAGTGTGTGGAAGAAGTATCGGGGGTGCGTGCCCCCGTAGAATTATTGTGTCTGGGGAAAGCATTTTTCTCGCTCGCCCCTGCACAAAGTTTATGCATTACGAAAAAAAGTTTTTATGGGAGTCGGGACGCTGAGCTTGTGTGTATGTGAAGGGGCTGGGAGAAAAAGTTTGCTACATTTTTACTAAAAAACTTCCTTATTATCTCTTTCCGTCTTCTTCCTCTCTACATGTAAAGACGAGTGCAAATGAGTAGGAAATGGAAGAAAACTGGAGGCGACTGAGTTTCGATGATGTAATCTGTCGTCTTTACCAGTTAAGGAGCCATTTGTCCTTAACAAACAACACAGAAGAGCCACACCGCAAAACAGAAGTAGTTTCCAACTCTTCTTTAAACTGCGTTGACAGCAGTATACATGATGTGCCGATAGTCTCCTCTGCTCTTGCTGCTGCAGCCGCCTGTGATCATGATGACAACATTGAGAATGCTGAGGATGATAATGGGGGTCTGTTTGCCTTGTTGACAGTGGACGATGGAATTGATTCCACACTACAGGAGAACTATGAGAGATGCCAAAGCCCCTTGGAATTCGTTAGCCAGGACGGCTCCGTTGTCATTACACGTGCACACAAACTGCTGGGGCGAGGAGCTTACTCCGAGGTGTACCACGGAACGCTGTCTGTTGCGGCACCCAAAGAAGAAAGATACCTTGTTGCAGTAAAGGTGAGTCATATGCAGGTGATCAGTGTGGATGAGATTGATCGCTGGATTCGCATGCTTTCTTTAAGGAAGACCATAATTCATCCTTGTATCATCCATTGTTATTATATAGGACTATTAGATGCGGAGAGCGAAACAAAGGTTATCAGGATGTATGCAGCCCTCGAACTCTCTTCAGGTGGGACTTTGGACCTTGTTCTAAAGAAAAAAGAGAGACTAATGGAAAACACTATTCGAACAATTCTTTCGCATATTTTGTCTGCATTGTCCTACCTTCACGAGACGATTGGCGTTGTACATAACGACGTTAAACCTCACAACATACTTCTCGTCATGAATCAAGAAGATAATGACGTCAGATACAAATTGTCGGACTTCGATGCCATATGTAAGGTCTCGAGTACTCAAACTATCACAGGTTCGGTAACACCACCTATTTCAAGCGGGGTTAAACAAGAAGGTGAAGAAGGTGTATATGGCACACCTTTGTACATGTCACCCGAGAGCTGTCGTGGGAAGCCGTTTTTACCTGGAAACGATGTGTGGTCTGTGGGCATTTTGACGTATCAGCTGTCAACGGGGAGGCTGCCGTGGGGCCCGCTGGAGGCGCAGGTGCCGTCGCTGATTCTGCATGGCTACCGTCAGGCCTATTCGGGAGGCTTTGGACCGATACTGGATGAGTTCGAGCAGGGCGTTGGACACGCATACTCGAAGGAGCTGAAAGACATGGTAAGAGCTTGCCTCGCAAAGAGTCCCGGAGAGCGGCCCAGCGCGTCCGCACTTCTTCAGCACCCTTTTTTCTCTTCAGAAGAGCTGCAGCTGTGACTCGCCACGGGCGGGCTGTCGTGTGGTTTTCTTTTGACTCATTTGCTGTCTTTCTGTGTACTGGTTCTGAACTTTATGGTTCACGCCCTTCCACGGAGTCATCCTGTTGCCTTCTTAATAATTATTCTACCTTGTAACCTCCTGATAGAGGTGGGTATTTTTTCACTATTCAAGAAACAACTGGATGCAACGCCAGTACTTTGAACAGCCACGATGCCACATGCTGCACCGCCGGAATGGCACTTCCAGTTTAAACGCAGAAGCGCCAGCTGCTAACGGTGTGGGGAACCAAAGTGAAGAACGGGCACTCTCTTCGCATGATGCGGACAAGGAGCACCGGTCGAAGCCACTTTCGCCACTTCTGTTACTGGGTCTCATGTACACGTACACCATTTGTGGTGCCTACGCGATTGAAGAGACCGTAATGGGCGGAGGCCCGCTTCTCGCCCTCATCTCGATTGTACTGATTCCTATATTCATGGCAGCTCCAACTGCGGTTGTGGTCGCCGAAATGGCCACAGCGATTCCATCCAATGCTGCCTTCTTGATGTGGATCAATGTCTCTTTCCACCGTACTGTGTATTTCACAATGGTGATCCTGACCCTGTTGCTGACCTTCATCGACAATGCGCTTTTCCCAGTGCTTGTCTCGGAGTACGTATGCACATCGATCTCCTGTTCGGATACGGGGGTGAAACTACTTCGTGCTGGAATGCTTTTGCTCACATACATCCTGAACTTGGTGGGGGTGCAGGCGGTGGGCATGACGAGTGTCCTGCTTTCCATCATTACTGTGTCACCGTTCCTTTTGATGTTCGCCATGCACCTCGTCAACAGTGGTTTCTACCTGAACTGGCCGGCCATAAGCTATATCCCGAGTGAGATTGATTGGCCAACGTTCATCACGACTGCATCATGGAATCTCTGTGGTCTGGAGCAGGCTGCTGCGGTTTCTGAAGAGATCAAGGCCCCACACCGCACCATCATTCTCGCGCTCGTGCCGCTCATGGGACTGGCATTTTTGACGTACATTCCCCCAATTCTGACGGGCGCAAGCGTGGAAAAAGGTCCGCCGGACGTGGAGGAGTGGACAACTGGGTACTGGGCGGTCGTGGCCCGTAACGTGGGAGGGCAGCCCCTTCAGGTTTTAATGGTTGTTGCCAGTGTTTTCTCTGCATTTGGACAGACACTTTCGGCTCTTTGCACAACAACGCATATCATTGCTGGCATGGCGTACACCGATGTGTTCCCGGGGCCGGTGGGCCGTATTCTGTATCAGCGTAATAAACGCTTTGGCACGCATCACTGGGCCCTGACGGTCAACACGCTAATCACGGGCATATTTAGTGTGCTGCTTGACTTTGGCCCTCTGGTAAAGGCGGACCAGGTGTTGTACGGCATAAGGGTGGTGCTGATCTTCCTGTCCTTCTTGATTGTGCGATACCGATACCCGCACCTGCACCGGCCATTCCGTGTCCCACTGGAGGGGTACCAGCTTGGCTTGTTTGCCGTGCCAATACTCCTCTTTGTTGCACTGACGATAGTGGCGATGCTGGAAGACATGCAAACAGTCATCATTAATTTATCCGTTTTGGGTGGTGCTGTTTTGGTATCTGTACTGTACTGTTTCCTGTGGCGAAAGGAGGATTTTGACGGGAGGGTGGTGACAGAGACTATTTTGGAGGACCAAGAGAGCCAAGAATGATTTTAACATTTTTTTCACAGTGCTGTGCTGGGGAAGCCAGAAAGGTTGTACCCCCACAACGTACCCTTTTCTTTTGACACGACCATTGAATGTGAAAGTGCATGTGTGTGTGTGTGTCTTTAACAAGCTTTGTGGTGGTAAGGAATATATATATGACTGCTGCATTGCCAAGGCAGAATGTATACTTGCTGGTTTGGAGCTCTTTGAGAGTATGCTGAGGCATGTATCACAGTCGATGTTTTTGATCTTTTTTGCTTTTACCGCGGCGAATTAACGGCGGCCATCAAACATCTGAATTGTAACGGTTTTTTAAGTGTAACACTTCGAGGTGACAAAGTACGATAAATGATTATTTTATTTTCTTCTTTATTCGTGGAATTTTCGGACTTTTCTCCCTCCAGTGGTTTTCGTACAAAGTGGAATGGCTGAAACGCGTGGTGGAGCGTTAAAGGCTTCCCTTTAATTATGTTCTCTTGCTTTTTTCTCATTTTTTAAGGACTGGGGCAAGACAACGGGGATGGCAGAGAATAAGGACAGAAAGG